ACTGGTAGTAACAAGAAGCTACTAGGAACAAGTGCCACGCTAGTAGTTTGAGGTCGAAAGCTGAAGGGGAGGAGGTCCGCTGCTTTCGAAGCACGTCAGCGGTCGCCTGCTACCTCGCCTGCTACTGATCTCGGCACCATGTCCTTGACCTTTCATACAAGCAAACATGACATGCATGATTCATTACAAGCCACTTCTGGTGGTGCATGCTACAAGGCTCAAAAGATCGGATGTCTCATTATCCCTTACACTTACACCCAATTCAAGTATATCCAAATCATTCCAAATCTAATGATGCTTTTGAAGACACCAAAAGAATATGTGCATCCCTCCCCATGCATTGGAATTGTTGCGGACCGGTCCTGTGATGCCGGCATGATCCAATGCGGCAGCCAAAAAGCTCGTGTAACTCATGCCTGGCGAAGATTTCCCAGTACCGCATTTTTTTGAGGAGGAGACACGGGTCCAACCAAGGACTCATTGAATGGAGCTTTCATCAGCCAAGATTGAAACTTCATGAAACTTCAGAACTTTAGAATGAAGTGTGGCCAAAATATTATGAATCCTCTCCAGCCATCGAGTCCTGTGGTTGATCTTCTCCCGAGTACACTCCCTGGAACTAACATGGAAGTGGAAAACCACCTGTTTGTAGTGAAAAATGGTCTTCCAAGGGGCCATGCTCCACTTCCATGTTAGTTCCAGGGAGTGTAATTCAAGGTGTTGAGGGTAAGGCCTCTTGTCCGGATTGGCCTACCAACAAAGCAAAGAAAATGTATGCTGTATTCGGCTCTTTCTGATCTAAGCTTGGGAGAGCACAGTGTTCAATCAGTGTTCTCTGGTTTCGCTGCCATCTGTTGAACTCCGAACTTCTTTGAGCAAATGTCTATACCTGAAGAAAACCTGAGAAAATCACTGATTCCAGGCGCTCTTTGGCTGCCGGCTCTTGCCCATCAAGGGGAGCCAGGAAGGCGGGCATTCTCCCCAATGAAGTGGCGATCCACTTTGGCCAACCTTGGTCCACTTGGTAAAAGGATGAAAAAGGATGCATAAAGGAGCTGTCTGCATGGGCCTTTGCATCAATCAACCACTGCAGCGGGCCCCAAATTCATGGCAAGTGTTTGTCCAGAAGTGCGTGGGCATCTCTCGCCCAGCTCTGCAGGCCACAGCTTGATTGAAACACATCTTGTACTTGATCTGGGGGCCCAGCCATTCCGCTGTTGGTTGGATCCCATGCATCTGCAAGAAATGGCTCAAGGCTATCGTGGTTGCCTGCAAATAAGCCAAGGCCATGACATCTGTGACATCGTGTGACTCCGTATTGGCGCAGCTCGAATGAAATGTGGAGCTTGTATTGGAAACTGGAGTAGCCAATGTGACCGATGCGGTTTTGGACAACCAACCAGAATTTCTGAGCAATGCTTTAAAGTTGGAATCCAAACACTCACGAATGAAGTGGGTCTTGAGCTCACACCCGGACATTCAATAGCTCTTTCCTTCTGTCATCCCTGTCTGTGTGTGTGTCTCACTTCACGACAAAAAACAAGTGTTTGCAACAACACTGAGCAGCAAGTTTTATATTGCAACGGTTGAAAACACCTGTCAACTTGCTGAGGCAACCATTTTCCTAGAACAGCATCTTGCTGCTAGGTTGTTCACCACCAGATTCGAAAGTTATCCATCTGAATAAGAGCCACAAGGCAGGTTGGCTCGTCGCTGGTGATTGCGCAATAGATGCTTGTCTTGTCTAGACATGTGTCGTATCGTGCAACATAAGATCTGATTGGATCGGTGCGATTGTGACTCCAATGTGAGCCACCCTAATATCCAGAATTAGATAAAGTATAAAACTATTCGCGAGGTACATGCCCAAGCTTGGCCAACCTGCATGTGACAGCAAACCTCATCCATTCGGCATGGAAAATTGTCAGTGCAAGGTTTGCTGTGTCCACTGATGCTTCTCTGTTCCAAAAAAGGAATGGCAGCGGACCCATGCAATCTTCATGAGCGTTGTCAAACGATGCCTGGACACTACTGGGCACCTGAGATGTTGTGTGTGGACAAAAAACTGAGCCCGACTGTCATCACTGGCCTCTCCATCCCCAAGGCGCTCGAGCTCTACAAAGGTCGCCCTCGCAAGCGCTCCATCCTGGGAAAGCTGGATGGTCTGGGCCCAAACACACCGAGATATGCAAGATAGATGTTATCTACTGTAATTTAACTTCCATTGCAGAACACCACATCATATGTCGTTGATCGTTGAATATCGTTGATGTATATCAAATGTAAAGCTTCCAACTCTTTCCTGGTATGCCTCAATGGTGCTCTCACTCGGCCGGCCGAGTTCTACTTGCTACTGCTTTGTTTCTGTACTTCCCTTTGATCTTGGCCGAGGAATTGAGCTAAACAGCTACCTCAACCTTGGGACAGTGGTGAGACGGACATCTGGGACACGGACACCATCGGACACCGCGCTGAGTTTTGGACGATGGAGGTGGGTGCAGGGTGTGGGGTGCAGGGGGGGAGTCCGTGCGTCTTCGTCGTGTTGTGTCGCGCGCGGTTTCTTTGTAGTTTTTACTGCTTAGACCAGACGCGGCAATGCCCCTCCTTGTTGGAACGTCGATCTCTGTTTTCGGTAAACCCTGGCACCTTGGATATTACATTCAAGTTCTGAGTTCTGAGTCATCAAGGTCGGGACAGTGTGATCGATTTGGTTGCACAGACTGTGTTGTTATCAGACCGCTCCCGGGTGAATTGGTCCAGAGTCCCTCGTTTCGGAGAACAACTGTTCGAGCTTTTGTGGCGACACGATTGGTCAAGACACAACACTGCCAAGATATATAACCCTTTTCCCCAATGTGTCTTTTGCCTCAAAAACCATGCGACGGTTAACGATTTCAGAGTTCCAAAGGTCCATGATACCTTTTTTGACGTCCCATCTTGATGAAACAAATCGTATAGGGTGATGCTATGTTCTGGTATAACTGGTATCCAACTGCGTGAAGTCTGCGATACCTCGTGTAGGGTGAAGCATCCTCACCCTCAATGCTTTCAGAGCCTTGCGGCACTCGCCCAGCATGTGGGCAATCGCCGTCTGCGCCAGTTGTTGCAAGCCTTGTGAAAACAGTCACGTTTAGAGAGTGATGTCAAAGGACATGGTGTTTTCTTGCGGGAGGAGGGTTTCCACTGCTGTACATGTTTCAAGACATTCCAATGGACACGGACCATGCTGGGAGAAGAAGTTCTGGACACGGGTCGCCAGACCCGAACCTTCCACCTTTGGTCTCGGGTCTCCAGTTTTACGATATAGTATGAGCATTTGGCCTTGCTTGACAGGATCTATAGCTGGGAATCAATTGCCTGTGGTGATGGTCTTCATGGATTGATAGAGGGCTGACCAAAAGCCTTTTGTTTGGCTAGTTTTGTGGCTCAATGCTTTCGACGGAATCATTGTCACCACCAAGTCAAGAAGCCATCCCGTTTGGTGGGTCACATCTCAATTCCGATCTTGGAACCAAGTAAGCTCAATGTTCATCCCTTTCGAAACACCAGATGTGCAAACACTTCCAAGTGCATCGGTGCCGTTCGGCCCGACCGAAGGGATCCAGCTCCACCTGAGGTCTGTTGCGAAAGATTTTGTCCTTCGGACCTGTGGAAAACGAATCCTGGGGGGTCTCTGCCAAACTATATAATACTCTACTAGTGATGGCCTCCAACCTAACAGTGATGGCCTCCACATACCGTACCAAATCTAATCTACGCTTTTTTCGATCCTTTCATGTCCTTTCCAACCTGTCCATCTCATCTCGTGCTGAGACCGCCAGCGACAGCTATCTACAAAACGGTCAAGGCGATTGCAAAGATCCTGGGTGGAGGGGAATCGTAGCTGAAGGGTCTGCGGCTGTTCAGAACAAAAAATGGTGTTTTCCTCTCAACCACTTGTTGCACAGTGTTGAAGTGAAAATCCCAGTTATCAAGACCTATCATTGGGCCCGTCTTCCACATGCTCAAGAGGTACAGGAAGCACACAAAATCCTAGACCGTGGCCATGAACAAATTCGCAGGGCATACAGCCACCCTGCGCCAACTGCTCCTGCGCCGATAAGAGCGACTGACTCCCAGAACTTGCTGGCGCCAAGAAGGGGTGCTCTAGTGCAGCCTCAGGCGGTGCGAAACACGTGCTTTGCACAAATACTTGCGTTCACATCTGATCACAGCCATGATTCGAGGCCTGGTGTATACCCCATTCTGCCGTGCGCACTCTCTATCTCTATTCTACCATTCTGGTCATCCTGAAAAGCCACCGACTCCTTCCAGAACCGGCGTTTCCCACCTCCAGGCTAATGCGATCTGAGGCATCCTCAGCGAGGCTCCGCAAGCAGTGCGTGCGGAATAATAGAGTGTATAAATGAGTGTGGAATGTCATTGAATCTGTCCAGTGTCAAGCTGATAGGTCCGTGCTGCCGACTAGTCGAAAAGTTCACTTTCACACACCGACTAGTGGAACAGTTAGTCGTTTGTTGAAAGCAGTCTTGGCTATTTGGTAGTACCAGCGGACACCACTGCCAGATCTGTCAACAGTTGGCTGTATAGTTACTTTCACATGTTCTCACTGTTCTCGTCAAGCTTCTCTCGGAAGAACAAGGGACCTCATCGTGTAGAATCATAATAGTAATCTTTGATAATAGTCATGCTGTTTTCAATACTGTCCAGCCACCAATCCTGACATGTACTTATTTTCAATCAACCAACATCTTTGTCTTGCTCTGCTGCTGTCGTGTTCTCTCTCTCTCTCTCTCCAGTCAGCCCGTGGCCCATGCAAGCAGTTGCTTCGCCAAGTCAGCAGCTTCAGCTGATGTGCTCAGATTCTGCAAGTGGCCCTGTCTGTGGGTCTTCGAGGACACAAAGAGCAAACTGAGCAAACCCAATGTTTTAACCAAAGCTTATTGTTACTACTAGTAAGGCACTTGTTACTAGTAGCGATGCACTTGTTACTACTAGCCTATAAAAGAGCTGGAAAATGGTTCAAAGCCACCTGCACTACTGCATGACTCACTACATATACAAAG